CAGAGCATCATGTTTCAACCAAATGCTGAACGTTCAGTCACAGTGACTGTAATACTTACATTCCTGTACCACCTAGCAGGATACAGTGTGCCTCCTATCAAGACAATGAAAGCAAGCATTTCACTAAACTTCCTCGATAATTCAAACCAAAACACAATTCAAAAATATTTAAACATTCACGTGTCAGAAATGGATTTCACTGAAGCCCGGTTTCCTCTGACCACGAGGGCATCATTCACTGTGGGACATAGGCTCAACTCTTCTCCCTACCCAGACAACTCCATGTCTTCCTCCCACACCCCCGAGGCCTAGTCTTTCCATGAGCTGCAGGGAAGGGAATGGCAGAGCTATTACTCCACTCCTAGCCATCCTCTCTAACTCCGTGGTGAATGAACCTCTGATCTCAGGAGTCTCAAACTGATAAATCTTTGTGGGGGTGGAATTAATCATCTAGGTTCATGGCCTGCTAGCCTCCTGTCATCACTTCTCTGCCCTCATCAAGGCTAACCTGCATGCTCTGCAGCTCTCACCACCTCCAGGAGTCCTTGTTTGCAGACTCCTAAGTACCAGTTAGATCCACAATCTTGAAGCATCCCTGGCTGCAGTGACTGAACAACTGAACTGGAGTTGGTGCAGAGCAAAGCTCATTTGCAGTAAAGGAGTCACCAGAAATTCACTTTAGAGCCCTGAGCCTTTTTTTGATTAAGAGACTCCTTTGCAACACTTGGTGACCTTCACTTCAAAATCATGACAACCTCGTGCTTGGAGAGTTGCAGCCATTGTTCCTTTGGTAAGAGATAAGAGATTAGCAAGAACCAGTTTCCCAGCTGCTTGGGTAGGGTTTTGGACACCTGTGAGAAAAGCCTCTCACTGAAGTTGGAGGCAACTTCTGCACCTTGAGAAGATTCTGGGCTAATCTGAATTGGCATTACATGCCATAAAGGATATAGTAAGGCAATATGAACCAGAAACCAAGCAGGCACAGTGGCACAGAGGGCTAAGCCATTGCTCAAGAAGCCCGTACCCCACATCAGAGTCACTCTGAGTCTCAGCTCCCTGATAACACACTTCGGAAGGCAGCAGGGATGGCCCAGAACAGGATGGAGTTCTTGGCTCACAGCTTTGGCCTGGCCCACACCTGGCTGTGGACACTTGGGGCATGAACCTGTGGATGGGGGAGGGAACCTTTCCTCTCTCTTTCCTCTCTGTAATATTCTTGCTCTCTGCCTTACAAATGTTTTTCTTTTCTTTTTTAATGAATCAGAGACATACATATTTTTAAGTAACTGATTCTGAAAAGCAACACCATCTGAGAACGGAAAGCACAACAAACCTCACAGGCATTTTATCCTGAAAATGCTAATAATCACTAAGGAGAGTATGCAAAGCACTTCAAAAAAGTTAAAAAAAAATGGAATGAAAAGGTAAGTTATTGTCATGCAACAACTATTTTTGGGAATCCATGCATACAGGGCAGGCATTTGCCACAGAGGTAAAGACACTGCTTGGGAGGCCTGTGTCCTGTAAGAAATGACGCAGCGTTAGCCCCGATGCACTCTGGATTCCAGCTTTGTGCTAAGTGCACCCTGGGAGCAAGCAGTGATGGCTCAAGTGCTTGGGTCTTTGGCAACCACAAGGGAAACTAAATCGAATTCTTGACTCCTGGCTATGGCCTGGTCCAGCCCTGACCATTGTGACTAGTAAGGGAGTAAACCAGTAGTTGGACAATCTCCCTGTCTCTCCCTCTGTGACTCTTTCAATAAATAAATAAATAAATCTGTTTTAAAAAAGAAAATTATAAACTGCTAATTTCTAGATGATAGAGATAGGATAGATAGGGTTGACAGAAGCCAAACGCCAGGAACTCTATCCTGGCCTCCCACATGGCTAGAAGGGAGCCAGGCACTTGGGCCACCATCTGCTGCTTTCCCAGGAATATTCTGAGGGAGCTGGATCTGGAAGTGGAACTGGCACTCTGTTATGGAATGCCAGCATTGCAAACAGAGGCTTAACTTGCCATACCACAACACTGGCTCCTCAAGCTCAAAAAAAATTTTTTTTAAGATTTATTTTTATTGGTAAGGCAGATTTACAGAGAGAAGGAGAAACAGAGAGAAAGATCTTCTCTCTATTGATTCACTTCCCAAGTAGCCACAATGACCAGAGCAAAAATCTGAAGCCAGGAGCCAGGAACTTCTTCCAGTTCTCCTACACGAGTGCAGCGTCCCAAGGCTTTGGGCCGTCCTCGACTGCTTTCTCAAGCCACAAGCAGGAGCTGGATGGGGAGTGGAGCAGCCAGGACACAAACCAGAGCCCCTATGGGATCCCTGCACATGCAAGGTGAGGATTTAGCCACTAGGTTATTGCATTGAGCCCTCAAGATCAAATTTTTAAGCCACCTTCTTCCAGAGTATTCTTGTCTAATTTTGATAATCCACTTGTAGAAGGGCCAAGGAAGATTTTGTTTTCTCTTGTACTTTTGGGCTGATCATCTCTTTGGTTAACTACCGAATATCACACGCTTCATTTCTAATCACTGCAAATTGCGTTTATCTCTGTAGTAAAGGGAACAGGGTTCAAAAGAAAGTGCTAGGGGCAGCACACAGCATCCCCTGCTAACTGTTCCACTCTCGTTCCAGCTCTGTTTCACTTGGGAAAGTGGCAGAGAATGGGGTCCAAGTCCTTGGGCTCCTGTTGCTGACACAGAGAGCCAGGCGGAGTCCTGGGTTCCTGGCCTTAGCCTGATTTAGCCCCAGCCACTGTGGCCATTGGGGAAGATGGGAAATCTGTCTCTCCCTCTTTCTTGTTCTGACTTTCAAATAAATAAATCTTTTTTTTTTAAAAAAAAGGTCCATGAGGGCCCGGCGCAGTGGCGCAAGTGGTTAAGGTCCTCGCCTAGCACGCCCGGGATCCCATATGGGCGCCGGTTCTAATCCCGGCAGCCCCGCTTCCCTTCCAGCTCCCTGCCTGTGGCCTGGGAAAGCAGTCGAGGACGGCCCAAGGCTTTGGGAACCTGCACCCACGTGGGAGACCCGGAAGAGGCTCCTGGCTTCGGATCGGCATAGCATCGGACCGTTGCGCTCACTTGGGGAGTGAAACATCGGATGGAAGATCTTCCTCTCTGTCTCTCCTCTCTGTATATCTGCCTTTCCAATGAAAAAATAATAAAAATAAATCTTAAAAAAAAAAAAAAAAAAGGTCCATGAGAACCTTTATGTCAAAGAGCTAAAAATCATTATGAGACAGGCCAGAATAAAGAGCAGCTAAGATATCAGGCCAGAGTAAGAGGGGAGAGGTGAGTAGGTGAGCAGCACCCTGACTACAGTGGGCACACCTTTGGGGTAGGCCTCCAAAGACCAAGCTGCTAGCTCCTCTTCAACATGTATGCTCTGGACTGGTCTAGCTCGTGTGGAAGCATGTTCTCATTTTTCCATCTTCCCTGAAGCAAATTTCTCTCTAATGTGGATAGTCTTTTGTGGTTCATTCCCAGAAGACCTAACTCCTGGCTAGCTGTCCACAGATGGCACTCATAAACTGTTAGCTACCAGGCCTGGCGCTGTGGCCTAGCACTAGAGTCCTCTCCTTGGACGTACCGGGATCCCATTTGGATGCAGGTTCATATCCAACTCCCTGCTTGTGGCCAGGGAAAGCAGTCGAGGATGGCCCACTGGCTTGGGACCCTGCACTTGTGCGGGAGACCTGGAAGAAGTTCCTGGCTCCTGGCTTTGGATCGGCGCAGCACCGGCCATTGTGGCCACTTGGGGAGTAAATCATTGGACGGAAGATCTTCCTCTCTGTCTCTCTTCCTCTTTCTACATATTTGACTTTGAAATAAAAATAAATAAATCTTTAAAAACTGTTAGCTACTGATCTGACATCTTTTCTACCTTCATTTTTTCTTTTCCAACAGAATCCTCATTTTTTCAGGGGCCAAGGGATACGGCATGGTGGCTCAAAACAATTTCTGATAGCCTTTTACTCTTGACAGTGACTGGTTCGGGATAGGGATACGACTCAGTATATGTTTGCATGTGTTATTTGGATTTCCCGGTCATGTTTACCAAATAGTGACCCCAAATTTCTGTTACATCTGTAACTATCCTACCTAATATTCCATCAAATCACACTGATTGCCAACTTTCATAACATAGTTTTGAAAATAATTTTGGAAGGCAAAGACATAGAAGAAACAAAGAAGGAAAGAAGAGAAAAAGGAAAAGACAGTTACCCTCCACCGGCCTGTTCACTGACAAATGCCCACAACATCCTGGGATGGAAGCCCAGAGCAGGAATCCAGCTCGCTATGTGACCACCACCTGCTGTGCGTTAGGATCAGGATCCAAGCCAGACTCAAATACAGACACTCCAATAGGAGATGACCTGCTGTGCCGAATACCTCGCCCGGTAATATTAACAGCCGTGCAACCCTTCCTTGAGTAACCTTTGAAGGACAGGCATCCTGCTACCACCAGGACAAGAAAATACGAGATTTGCTTTTACGTTATTTTCTCATCTTTCCAGTTCTCCTCTAAGCCACCGCAAAGAGGCAGCCCTTCACAACAGTACAAAGTTAAAAACTGGCCATGCGAACAACTATAGCAGAGCTCAAATTTTCCAACCCTAAATCCCCACACGCCAGCACACAGTGTCAGTTAACATGGGGGCAATTTCTGGTGCTGGAGCCGGTGCCAGGCGTGCGAGGAGGCATGAGGAGACCAACAGCTCTGCGAGGAGCCAGCCCCGGCCCGCCGAGGGGCCTGCAGCGGCCTGGGTGGGCGGCGGCCGCGACGCCCAAGGCCCGTCGAGGCGGAACCAACGTGGCCCACCGCAGCCAACTGCACTGCCGCCAACGAAGCCATCTCTTCGCACTCTGCCGCCCCGCGAGCCTCGTACGATTTTGGCGGCCTGTCAGCCCAGGGCTAGGCCGGCACACTCCGGCGGCCCAGCCACATGTCGAGGCCCACGGTGGAGCAACACGAGCCAGACCCACATTTCATTACCTACTCTGGCGAGTTCGGGATTCTCCCTGTCTTCTTGCTCTCGTTCTTCTCGGAAACATACCGTCAGCCAGGGGGTCACCCTAACGCTCCTCTCGGGTTGGTCAAAAGGTCCCGGAGCTCAGCCAGGAGACCCCGTCACAACGGAACCGGAAACATTTTTGCCCCGAAAAACCTCAGGGAAAAACTATACCTCAGAACAGCCTCGGGCAGGCGGGGCGTGAGCGGGCCTCGACTCGGCGTCCTATTGGTTCCGAGAAAAGAAAGACGGCCCCTCGGGAGCACGGCTTAGCCAATCAAGTGGCAGGGTGTGGCCGGCGCTGAGGCTGGCTTGCTTCCGGCTGCTTTCCCCGCGACTTCTGCGTGGGGGAGCATGGGAACGTGCGACGCTTGCAGTGGCCGTGGCTTTCGTTGTCCCGTCGCGCCACTGGGCGTCGCCTTCAGCTGTTGCTGCTACCGCAGGGCTAGCAGGAGGCTTTCACTAGTCCCAGAGCAGTGAGTGGGGCACACTTTTTGAGGCGAGGCCGAAGCGAAAAGCAATTTGCCTCAGGTCCTTCAAGAGACTGGGAGGACCAGGAGGACCCCGGGGATTTCGTGGACAAGCCTTGCAGCCCAACCGGCCTGCTTGAGGACTGTTTTTTCTTTGCATAGCTTTGCTTTTTCAGTCTCTGTGGGGACTCCCACTTCCACTCTCCCAAATGGCGTCTGTGCTGGCGACAGTGGATGCTCAGGTGAGATGAAGTACCCTTATTTTTTAAAATGCTCCTCCCTGACCAATTTGTTCCTTTCCAAACTCACTCGCTAGAAACGGAGCCTTTGGATGAGCCTGTAACACGGTGTCTGTCCTGAAGAGAATCCTAGGTTCACACCTGTTGAACAAGAGGATGATGCCCCGCTGGGTTCTGGGTCACATCCCCCTCTTCCGTTGATTTATAGGACCAGGCTGGGGAAGGAGTAGTGGGCTTGGCTGAACGCTGAGTGAATTCAGCGATGACTGTCATGGGGTGGGGTCGTAAGAATAGCAATAGCAAAGAACGGAATGTGAGAATCCCTTTAACTTCCATCTTTTTCAAGATTCTTCCTGAGTTGCCCAGTCTTCTCCATCCTTCCCTAAAGGGTTCCCACCACAGTGAGTGTCCCCTGGGCTTTTCTCCACCAGACTAGTCTCTGTGAATTCTCACAGTGCGCTGTGTTGATCTGTACACTGTTGCCCATCCCAGAACTAGGGAACCTTCTGCCTGAAACCCCTTTCTCCCTCGCATCTGCCGTTTGTAGCTGTCCCCGGTCTCGCTTGTTGCTAGAGGAACCAGCCTGCAAGCCTCTGGTAGTGCAATGAGCTCTCCTATTGTTTCAGGGGCCTGTGGTCTATGAAGATCTGGCTGTGTATTTTTCCCAAGAGGAGTGCGTGGGTCTGCTTTCTGCCCAGAGGGTCCTCGACAGAGGGGCCGCAGCCGAGCATGTCATTTTGAATGGTGAGGCATTTGGTTTTTCCTGTACTTTTCCAGCTTTGTCAGTTCTAAGGTAGTGGTTGGAGTAGAACCTGTCCCTGGGAAATTTGTCTGGATATGATGAGAACTTACATGAAAGGCAAGTTTTGAACGATTAGGTGATTTCTTAAAAGGTTTTAAAAAATCAATTTGGTACCGTGACTTTAACTTCATAAAAGATGTGGCATTACCTGGTAATCTTTTTAAATATTTGTTACTGTAAATTTCCTGTTTTACTTAGGAAACCTGGTTAATATAATCATTTGCTAGATATTGGGAGTTTCACTCTTAAGGTGTTCAATAGCTGTGCTGCCTAAGGAGACCCATGTGCAGCAGTTCTCTGAGTAGATTTTATCTCCAACTACTATTTAAGTATCTAAACTGTCCTGTAATTTGTATTTGTATCTTCCACTGGTTTGTCATGTTTTTGTTTTCTTTTACCTCCTTGAACATAGGGAAATATTTATAATAGCTTTTTAAAAAATATGCTCGCTGTGTGTTCCAGTTCTGCCTTTGTTTCTATTGATTGATTTTCCTCCTACATGTTGGTGATATTTTCTTCTTTCTGTGCTTGGTCATTTTTGACTGGATGTTAGTCACTGTGAATTTTATATTATTTGGAGCTGGATTGTCGCATGTTTAAAAGGGACTCTGGGCTTTAACCCAGCATGCAGTTAAAGTACTTGGGATTAGTCTGACCCTATCAAGCTTTGCTTTTTGGCTTTGTTAGGGTGGTTTTGATTAGCTTTTAATCTAAAGCTAATTTGGACTACTGCTAAGGCAATATTTTTCTGATAAGTTTGCTTGATGTCCTGTGAGAAACTATTCCCACTCAAAGACATGGGGCATAAACTCCTGTTGAGCTCTGGAAAATGTTCTGTGTATTACTTTTGCGTGGTTCTTTCTGTGGCCTTGGGTAGTAATCACATCACGTGCTTACTTGTTAGCACTCAGCAACTAAGTCTTAAGACACCATGGAGATGCCATGAGTTTTCTTTCTGGGAAGCAACCTCTTTGTATCTTTCTCTCACATTCTGGTTGTCTTGGCATCTTTGATCTGTGATATTAGAATTTCCTCAGATCAGTGGAATCACTGGGTCCTGTTTGGATTCCCATGTACTGTATTGCACCCCAGAAACCCTTGCCAGCCATTCAATTGAGACAATCATAAAAGTCTGTGAAAAGACTTCTTTTTCTTTTTTTTTTTTTTGGAAAAGACTCCTTTTATAATAACAAATTGGCTTTACACATGAAAAATGTAATTGTTCTTTGTATCCTTGGCAAATTGATCCTAGGATCCCCTCTTCTACCCTCTTACTCCCGCAGAATGCTCAAATCCTCAGATTCCCGTGTAGAAAATACTATAGTGTTTGCATATAACCCATACACACCCTTCTGTATACTCTAATCACATCTAGATTACTTAATATAAGTGCTATAAATTTTTTTTTACTGAATTGTTTAGGGATAATGACCCCAAAAAGGCCTATTCATGTTCAGGACAGATGCAGCCTTTTTCATATATTTTTAATCTACAATTGACTATAAAAACAGAGAACTGTGGATATGGAGAGCCAGCTTATTTGGGAAAATATTTTTAAAAAATGCTTTGGGGCAGGCTCAAATTTTGTCAGTCATTCTCGTGGTAAAACTGACTGTTATCTGCCTGCAGTACTATTGCACAGTAGCTACACCTTGATCATTCTTCGGTGAACAGTAAAGAAATTTTGGAAACTTCACTTGGTGAAAATAAAACAAATTTTTAGTAACCTGTGAACTTCTCTGATAAGGCAGGAAAACACTTGCCTGCTTTCTCTCTTGAGAAATATGAATTCCAGTCTCCATTCCAGCTGTGATTGTCCAGTTGCTACTTGAGACAGCTTGAATGATTAAAGGCTCTTGAGGTCTAAATACACTGACTGGGAAACTGGGCATCTGGGTGATCTCTCCCAAGACTGTTTTTCGTACCTATCCTACTGGGTCCTGACTCATGCACTCTGTTTCTTCCTCTTGCAGATTCACCTAGAATTAAATCTTTTCAGAATTCAGGCTCCTGATTTTGTATGTTTATCAGTATCTGGGTCATAATCCACTTACACTTTCTTGGGCCTCTGTGTGATTACCTTAGCTTGTACTGTCCCTTGTTATCACCTGAAGGTATTGTCTATGTTTTGCTTCATTTTGTTTTTATCAACAGGAGAGGAAGGCAAGACTGAGATTAATCAGCAGTTAAGCCTAGAGTCTCTGGAACTTGATGAGCTTGCCCTAGAAAATTACTCCATTGCTGCACCCCTTGTCTATTACCCAGAAAAATCCTCTGAGGATGGAGTTGGAAACTCTGAAAGGAAAGTGTCAGATGGAACCTCTGCTTGCGAGAAAAGATTCATAAGCCTTTTGGTTACCATTGAAAACCATACCCCATTAGTAGAATTATCTCAATGTTTAGGAATCAGACAACTTTCTGAAATCCTTGAATTTCCGTTGGAAGAAACCAAACTTGTGTACAAGTGTCCTGAATGTGACCAAAGCTTCAGTGATAATTCTTACCTTGCTTTACATCAGAAAATTCACACAGTAGAGAAAAAGCATAAATGTGTTGATTGTGGGAAGATCTTCAATCATAGAGCCAACTTGAGGACACACAGGAGAATCCATACTGGTGAGAAGCCTTACAAGTGTGCCAAGTGCGGTGCTAGCTTCCACAAGCAGCCACACCTGTCCCGGCATATGAATAGCCATGCACAGGAGAAACCCTATACTTGTGACAAATGTGGAAGAACTTTTATGTGGCTTCCAGGATTGGCACAGCATCAGAAAAGCCACAGTGCTGAGAAAGCCTATGAGTGTGCCAACTGTGATAAACATGTTCTTCAGAACACAAATCTTACTTTGCAAGAGAAAACACACCCATCAGCCACTCCATACCAGAACACTGAGTGTGTAAGCACTTTGGGGCAGGCCTCATGCTCTTCGCTCCCAGAGAAGGGCCCCAAGGAAGACTCTCAAAGCTGCAGCAATGATGATGAAAACTTTTTTTCTTTCTCAAAATTCAAACCCTTGCAATGTCTTGAGTGTGATATGACCTTTCCTTGTTTCTTTGAGCTTGTTTCCCATCAGAACATTCACGCGGTAGAAAAGCCCCATCAATGTAAAACATGTGCAGAAAACTTTACATCAGAGTCTGAACTTGCAAGCCACCAAAAGAGCCACACAACGGAGGGACCTCTTAAATGTACCACGTGTGGGAGAAGTTTCAGAATGAAAATGCATCTTGTTACTCATAGGCGAAGCCATAGAAGAAACACCAAATAAATATAACATGTTTTCCTTAACGTTTGAGCTTTTCAGTACACAGTTCCAGTTTATGTGCCAGGTGTTATGCTAAGCACTTTAAACATATTCCACATCACAGTCTACCACAGTCTTAGGCAGTATTCTGTCTGAGAGCTGAGGAAATATCATACAACTAGTGAAAGAAGCCAGTATTGAAAATAACATTCCATTTATATGAGCCAGAGAACAAAAATAACTTTTTCACTAAATTAAGTTTTCTTAGAAATGAAGGCTGTTACTCAAGCACTTCTCATTTTTGTATAGGTGGTTTCTAAGTAGATTTTTGAAGAAGGAGAATTTACTTTTTTTTAGCCAGTTCTGCAGATACAGTG